TTACAATAGAGATCTCAAAAAGCCTAACCTGGCAATGTATAAGCTCAAATGACATTTTCACAATGTAATTCTCTAGTTTAAAATCTGTTTAAAGTGTCAATAAGAAAACAGGAGTATTTTACCTTTATATATTCATATTTTGTTTGTAAATTTATTAGCACATTTTAAGGTTTAAAAATCAACTAAATACTCTGGTTTTCCCTTTTAAATGCTTTTCAAGCATTTTAAAGGTCCATAAAACTCAATGAAATTTTTGGTAGACATTTTAGTTTCACAAAGGAAAAAATTGATCTATTGAGGAAGATCTGCTTGAGGCTACCTCAACAATTTGCCAAGAGACCTCAGATCCTTTGTCTCCTTTTTCATAAATCTATTGTCCGCTTCTCCCAACTTTTCCTATTTGAAGAGAAAGTTGTGGAAAAAGGAAAAAGAAAATAATAAATGTATTTTAAAATCCAGGAAGGTTGACAGTGCAGACAAATGAAAATTAATTGAAGAAAAGTTAAAAATTAGTATGAAGTCTTGATTTTTTTTTTGATGAACAAATATAAATAACCTAATAGCTTTCTAGCTAACCACAGTAAGAAATATGGAGACTTGAAAATATATCTCCATACTGTTTCTGGGGCAGCAACTCTTACCAGGTCACATTTGTTTCACCAGCCTCTAGATTTACAAAGCCTGTTTTTTAATCAGCCTATATAATAATGAATGAACTATTGGTCAATTAAGAAAAGGATAAGTTGTGCAGAGGTGTACGTTTTTTGCCAAGTAAAATCTGGGGTCACTTAACAGTACATGTGATGTATAAATAATTCAGTCAATTGTGTCCCTGTACCTCTTCTTTTCGCTCTTCATTTCGTCTTTGGAATTGCCAATAAACCAGTGCTCGCTGTGACTTTGGACTGCATTCCAAAAATGTGCTACTATTTTCTACTCCATAAATGATTCTCTCTTCAAGACTGTGGACATGATGATTATCTGGCCAGTGACAAGAAAATGAAATGAGACAATGTTAGAAAAGTAATCTCAACTTTTCAAGACATTTACCTGAAAATTCAGTAGATAAATTGTTCTCATGTTGGAAGCTGTTTTCAGATTGATTCAAGATGGCAGAAATATCAAGGCTATAAGGGTTTCAGAATCCAAATGCCTACCTATATAGACTAACCATATTGTTATAGGTTGTACAAAACATACATAGAGATTTTTCTACCTGCAAATAACATATTAGCAAAATCAGTGATATGTGGAGTATAACTAAATATCTTTATATTACATGATAATACTCTATAAGAAATTATTTTTACTATAAAACTCTTCTCTCTGACTAAATGGAGTCAGTTTGTATTATACTATCATCTAGCAGAAAAATTACTGAACTGGGCTTTTGGAAAGAAAACTCTGTTTTTCAGAAATTATTTTTGTCTCTTTATGTTTGCTTTTCATCTATAAAATTAAATTCACCAACCAATAATATTTATCTAGTATTTTACAGAAGGTAGAGATTGGGAAGTTTATACTCCCCACCAAAAACCCTTAAATAATCCACAAGTTTTTCCTGGAGATCAATTGGTGTAAAATGTTTGGGATGGCGCAGAAGAAAGATGCATAATTACAATGCAATGTGGTTTCAATCGTCCTTATTTTAAAATGACACATCTTTTATTATTTTCAAGAATTAGGCTGTGGAATATGGCAAGAGTATGTAATAAAATGCAGCAATATGGAAACCTGTTTCCTGATTAAGTTTCTATTATTTTACCCTTTATGTAACCTCTTTCAATGTGGTAACTGAAACATAGCTCAGATCAAAAGTACGACACAGAGAATCTAGGTAAAACTCATTTGGAGAACAAAACTCCATATTATCTTATATAATCCTGTTTCCATTATGACATCCTGTACAATCTGGAACTCATTAAATTAATTTAGAAAATAATAAATGTATTTTCACATCCAGGAAGGTTGACAGTGTAGACAGATGAAAAACTTTTGCTCTCTACTTCAAACTTAGCTAGGTTTTTAATTTAAAAATTATTCTCTCTCCCCCCTCCCTTTTTTTGGCATCACTTTGACAGTTTTACTCATGTCATAACCAACTGAGTACTTTTGTCTGTCATAACTGATACAGCTTGCTTTCACTAGATTTCAGGATTTCCCAAACCCTTCTTCTATCCAATCCCTGGGCATGGCCTATGTTCCTTGTCTCCTATCTCACCCTGATGCAGTTGACCTGGGCCTCCACTTGCTATCCCCAGGGATATCAGCCCTCAGTGCCTGTTTCTCAACTGCCCTGAGTGTCAAACAAAACTCTTCCCATATTGGGAAGTATCTGTCCCTTCTTATTGAAAAGATCCACCCCCTGGAAACAAGGCAGAATAAGAAATGACACAAATGTAAAGAAACCACAATATTTAATTCATTCCAAGTCACGCTTTTTCCCCTATTAGCATTGTATCTCCTTGTGTGTAATTTCTACAATGAATATGGCATGCTTTTTTCCCTCTGAAATTATTAGTGCATCTCAAATTGAAGAAATATGGTACATGTTACTGTGCTAGTTTACAAGACATCTGTTCCCTGGATAGAGGTGAATTGAATTTCTATGTCCAACAGGGTCTGGAAAATCTGTGGTTCAGGAACTATCACCAATAATGAGAATGCCTTGTCACCAAGGCCAATACTATTTATATACAGAATAGACTTTTTGCCTACTATTTTTTTTTTGCAGTGTAAATATGTTTGATCTACAAATCTTTTTACTCTTAGGAAGAACTTTTCATTTAATCTGTCTGTGAATGAATCATAATGTATTTGGCTTGATAATATATAGGTAAAAAAACATGTGAAAAGCCATTGTCTTCTCTGTTAACAGGATGATGCTCAGAGTAACTTATTTATTTCTTGCCTGTTCTGTTTAAATTACCGTCAAAATCTATCAAAGGCTAAGGTATGAGTAAGTTATTGCTCTCAAACATAGAATTCTATTTAAATCCCTTAATACATTAGTTGACACAGAGAAGATCAATGTGACTTCTATAATGGGACAATTTATTTATTTATTTATTTTGTTTTTGCAGTGATGGGAATGGAATCCAGGCCCTCAAACATACTGAGCAAGTGTTCTACCATAGTGCTATACCTTCAGCCGTAAGACTTACATAGTATGAGAGAAAGTGCTTCACTATAAATAGATGCAATATCTTCAAAATTACTGAGCTGTCTTCTTTTCCATTAATCTAGTCATTTCAGTTAATCTATTCATATAGTTTAACTTTTCTGATAGCTCTAGGAATCCTGTTTGGTTTTTATTTTCTTTTTAATGCATTTTCCAATGGCAATGAACTGCTCTCAATGTACCAGAAAAAGAAAGAAAGAAAGAAAGAAAGAAAGAAAGAAAGAAAGAAAGAAAGAAGGAAGGAAATATAAAAATAAATCATCTTAATAGTAAATGCCTTCTTACATTTAAAGTAATTCATCTTATCTGCTACTTTTCTATAGTTTAATCTGATAGATGATGATTTGTGGTTAAACAAAAGATTTATAGCAAGTTGTTTTTAGTTTAATGTGGTAATATTTTATGGCCTTTGCAAAATCATGACTTTTAGGTTCTTTCTCACCTTGATAAGATAACTACAACTGGGTAATTTGGTTCATTGGCTTGGTGCCTCCAGTTAGTCTGCTTTGATAACTACTCTTACCAATAACTTAGAATCTCACTCTTCCTTATCTCAACCCTTTCTTTCTCTCCTTTCTGCAAGCAACAATAAAAGAGAATTATCTTCTAGCTAGTAACCAGTGAAGTTTAAGATTCTGTCATAATAACTTTAAATCACAGTCTGTACACAGACTTTGTTTTGTTAAGTTCTGCTGCCATCAGCCATAATTATAAAAAGTAAATTTCCATTGCATACTGTTGTTCTTTTTAATTTTCTATAATAGAATGTTTTGATCATCAGCAACATCTAATTTAAGACCATAACTTTCATTTAATGTGGTCTCAGCCCAGGACCCATATATTTGGGTGCACAGATATAACCATTAGTAAATCGTAATCTATTAATTTCCCCTCATTTGTTAAGTTAAAAACAGAAACATAAAAAAAGGTTTAAAAATAATTATTATAAGGCACTCAAAAAATATCCATTCTGTTCTCTAAGTGTTCTACCCTAACCATTTGCACAAGTTTTGTACAGGTAGGAAAGATTAAAGACCCAATGACAATGTATTCTTCTCTCTCATTTTTTCTGTCTAACCCCTCCCTCCTTCACCCTCTTCCTCCCTCCCTGCCTCTCCAGAAAGATTTATAAGCAAAGGAAATACTGATATTCTTGTTTTCCTTCCTTATTATATTCTTTACTTTTTCTTGGGACATTGTACTATCAGTTTATTTAAGGCAAACAGATCTATATATGATTGGCTGCACAGTGTAGCTGTACTTTTCAGATAATGTATAGGCTTTATAGTTAACCAATGCAAATCGAAAGCTCAATAGTGTTGATTAAAGATTTACTGAGGATATGAAATCTTACATATCATATTCAGGTTAAGTGTAAGTTAATCTATCTCTGGATTAAATCAGTTGACCTGAGAGCAGTTGACATGGAACCTACTGTGTTAATGGACATGGACTTTATTGAGTTGTTTGGTGGTATTCCCTGGATTGTGTCAAGGGAGCCCACAGCCAACACTTTGAGGATACTCGCTGTATTTCCATCACATTATTGTTGAGTATGGTGTTTTCTGCATTGTGATGCTGTGAGAGATTTTTCTCTGGCTTAGTTTTTAGGAATGATTAAGATTCTCTTGATCAACTGACTTTTTAAAGATGAATTTTGTGATCATATTCCCACTCTACATTGGCTGAAAATAAGCCAAGTTGATGTCATACCCTTCTAACTATTGGTAAATATGTTCTTGCTGCATGACTGGTTTTGTTCTTTGTCAGTGTACCTGCTTTGTCTTTGAAACACTGTTGTTATTGCTATCTTTGATTTTTTTGAATCAAACAATTGCAAACCATTTTAAATACATTAGATTATTTATCAAGTGTAGAAAATGCAGCGTTTTATAATGTTTTAAATATCTTTTTTGTTGTGATTAAAATATGTCTACATAAAATATTAGAACAATGTCTGGGCATAGTACAGTGGCATGTACATTAAGTGACGTTATTGTTACTTCTCTTGTGCTAGCTTAAACTGCCAATTCAAAACTTCATCTTTTTCTGAGAATCTCCACTAAGCTAAATAACGAAATATTTTCCCACATCAATCCTATTCCCAAACAAGTATCAAAGAAAATATTTTCTTTTCAATATTTTCCCAAAATTTCTTTTCACATATCTCTTTAGAGCACATGTAGTCTTACTTGTTATAATTATTACAGAACTGATGATCTTTCCCAATACTGTGTGCTCCATACCTGGCAGAAAGGCAATCTAGAATGCTTAGAGGGTGTTTGCTGAACAGTAAATCCAGGCAACTACACTGAATTTAAAAGCTGAAATCTCAGGTAACTTTGACATCCTTAAGACAAAGAGTTATGATTTTGTAAAAGAAATGAATAAAAATTTCATCAATCACAAAGGCATAGGGATTATAACTCTGATTATGATAGAATACTTCATTAAACTGCTGGTGGATGTATGCCTAGCAACATTTTTTAAGTTTAATAAGTTATGAAAGTTGATTTGAGATATGCTAGGAGCAGTGATGACTAATCAAGTACATCCCAATATCAACAGTTCCAAATATGGGATAATAATAAGATAATGTGATTTGAGAACTCCTATGAACATATTCTCACATCCCCAGGGAGACCAATACCATGGAAGATCCATGGGTGATGTTGTAGATTTCCAGAAAGAAAGCAATCTCACTGAAAATTGTTTTTAAATACATCTCACACTTTGAAAGCAACTGTTTTGAATACAAACTTTTGTCATGAAAATTAGAGTAGACAAGAAGAGTAGAGTT